GACTTGTCACGAGTCATTTCTTTCGTGCTAGTACTCGTGAACGTGGTACATGATTCTTTTTAAGATGTTCGTAACATGAAATACCGGTAGCCGAGTTATGGAATTCCTTTAGTATAAAACATGAAATACTTAGGATGCTTTAGTACTCTTACTATAAACCTTAAAAGCTTAAATTATTTTCCTGGAAAGTATAATGTTGTTACATTAATCGCACTTGGAAACAAGATCTATGTATTCTTGGTAACATTTATAAAAGTGTTAATTATTAAACTGTCTGCTCTACTGGGTTATGTTATGCTGGTAAGACCTTGCGACTGGCCACTTCGAATGGGTCCTCTCAAATGTCTGTTAGCATTTTGGGTTCAGAAAGTTATCGGAATAAGTTAACAGGTTTAATCTCTGATAGCTAAAGAAAAATTTATTTGTCCCGTGGTTAAACGCTCAGTACGTATTTTTATTACGTACTAATGTAATAAAGTTTTTTTTCGGCGAAGAAAAGGTTATTTTTCCAAATTCTAGCCAGTAAATGGAACATACGAACTCTGTGGAGCAAAATCCAAAATACTGAAAGAGTGGAATGCAAAAAGGTATTTTTACCACAGCAGTATCTGTCTGTTGCCATCTAATCGTGAAGAAGCTAGTGCAAAGGCATCGGAAATTCCCTGCAAAACTATTCGATAATGACAGTATACCAAAGCCTAGGCACTTCTTGGAAGGAAAGACTTCTTTGAAATGCCAGGAAATCTTCGAAAGGGGCCTCCGTTTCAGTTTTCGTTTTGCTTACGTCGTTACAGAGATTTTAATTTCCGCTTTGGGCTAGTATCAGTCCTTCGGCTGTTGTGAGCGAGCTGCATCGCGGAGTGACTTCTGTTTAATTTAACCAACTACATGACGAAGCGCTGAAAACACAAAAGCCCACACCATTGGTCAAGGCCCTAAATCATTTTATTTAACTTCATACGCTCTGACCTGGGTTTTTACGTGCACTGCAGTGTAAATATTTAGCAATTCTTATGAAGGTCTCTATGCCTCAAACTGCCAGTGGCATGTGTGTAGAAACTTACGTAATTTTAAATGTCTTTATAGATCGGGGTCCCGCTTGATCTGGAAGTGGGGTTATGGTTTTTCTTAGTAATTTCAGACAAATCCCGAGACGGTACCTTAATTAAGCCACGACCACTTCCTGTAATTCGATATTCGCTACATAACCCATATGTATCGAAAATGTGAACAAAAGTGGTTCTATGTGTAAATGTAAAGGTGGGTAAAATATTAATCAACGCTTCGATAACTTCGCGGAGTTCATTTCTAGCGAATCAAGTATTCAATTTTACAAAGTTTCATTACCATCTTTGAAAAAGCCTGCAATTTATCCCCGTCTTGAGCCTTATAAATCTAACTTCAACTCTCAACCCTACTTATTTAAGATCCGTTCGATCAGGTTTTATGAAGCAAGAATTTTGATTCAAAAACTATATCGTGTGCTTCGCATTGGATCTTAGCGAACACATTCATTACCATTTGTCCGGGTGTGCTGCACCTTTTATATGTAGGCGTATTAATTACGAAATATTCGGGCAGTTTTTCATTTATTCAAATTGAAAAAGAAGTGTTATGTGGAACTGTTTGTCAGAAACCCGAGTGTGGCGAGGAATGAAGGTCTCATGCGCTGTTCGGTTAAGGAATTGTGTCGACACATTCTGGTATGTGAACATGTCGGGGTATTAAGTCTGCTTACGTCACGCGACTGAGCGCATTGTGCGTATTTCTACACCCATACGTTTCGCGAAACGCGGAAATTTCAGAATCCTAAAATACAAATATGATGAATAGCCTCTACAGAATTTTAGTCCCATTCATGTGATGATCACGAGTTGGGCGGAAAGCAAATTAGTACTTTCGTGTACCCTGACGATACTTTTCGGTTCATTGGTATTCTATAGAATGCATCTTCTCTACATACAATAACTCCATAGCAAGAGCAGAGTCCTTATTAAGAAGCGAAAAGTACATTCACCGAGTCAATACATTCGCCGCCTTTCTTGGAACCACAAGCTTAATTACCGTTCTCGCCTGAACCTTCACCGATCCATATCCTGAGCCATCTGAATCCAATCCACACCCTTCATCCTCTTTTTCTCCACCTCCTGATTGCCTGCTCTGCCTTCACAAGTCAGCGCACACTATCAAGTCATATTTCACTAAGATCCATTTTAATATTATTTTCCCTTCTACGCCTTGGTCTTCCGAATGGTTTCTTCCTTTCAGTTTTATTCAGCCTCTCTCACTTAATTACTTAGATCTTTGCTGCATCAGAGGAAGTTAAAGGGAATTAAATATTTCCGCCGAATATGATCTGTTCCCCAAGTTCTCTAGTTTTATAAATTACAGCAGTTTATCTGCCTTCTCTATGCAGAGTTTATTCTATTTTCGAAATAATAGGAACCGTTTTCACACATGTCACAAAAAGCTTTTTACCACTGTATTCGATTTTGCATCGGAGTTAGGGTCTATTTGACAACAGTTCTACGCAATGGGGCGAGTCCGAGGTCATTACCGTGGTTACTGTAAGCTTCAGACTCGATAAGGATCTCATTTCGTTTGATTTACAGGTCGCTTCTTAACCTGTTACTTGGAACATGCATCAGAAGTCTTCGTCTTCGTGTTCTGAATGATATTGTATAGGCTTAACTGCATTTTCATTACGAAATTCGGGGAAATATTGTATTTACGAAACATCGCGACCTAGTAGAGCTCATGCTGTGTATCGGGAGGTCCCGGCTACAGATTTCCGCCCGGAGACCGACCGTCGAGACTGAGGTGTTCTGTGGCTTCCTCGGGTCCTCAGTGTAAGTGCCTTGATATTTGATTAAAGTAGCCCACGACCTCTTCCTTCCATATAGACCTGCATTCATTACTGACAGAAAGTTAGTTAATCGATTGGATTTATTTATAGGTTTAAAAAGTCTTCTTTGGGAGTAATTATGGGAACGTGTTTGCATTCGTTCGTAGACTTGCTGATGTTCGCAAAAGTTCGTGCTGTCATGAGACGAGTCCAGTTGGTATGAGTGTCGTTTAAAATAATACATTCTAATCGCAAATAAAGTCCATGAAGTTTAAATATCTTGCGTATACTTACCATAACACTGCGAAGTGGATTTGCGTTTTGGATGTGAATGTAGTTGAAGTGTGGGCGTTATCCCTGGCATTCCTCTCCTTGGACACCGGCAGAACAGACGACGAATGCTGGAGAGAGCAGAGGAACATGGCCTTGTGACCACACACACTGCCTAATCTCAAGTTCTAAATATTTATCGGAAGAATTCAGTACTTTTTAAGGAATTAAAATACCACTGCAATTATAAAATATTATAAAGAAACGAGATTAAATGAACTGAAATAAAGAATGAAACGAATGAGAGAAAGGATCAAAAGAAATGAAGATTAAATAGGATGAATTTTGAGTAGACAAATTTTACGTCAGGATTTCTTAAACACTCTAAATCTTGGCGCAGGATTAAGGTTCTAACACATTTATGAGTTAGAGCGTTAGTAGTTACATTTAAAAGGAAAATACAAAGTTATCTCTAGTAGGCACTTAACTAACGATCATTTTCCACTTTTTACAGAAAACAAATTGTATTTCTGTTTTCACAATCAACCACCAGCGGTCTCTGTTCGTAGCCAAATCCGGTTCACACGCTTATAGTTGCCCAGTGGTCCTGCTACCAGTAGCAGCAGTAGTGTCATTTACTTATTTCTACTTACTGTTTTGCCCACTTAACGATGCTGTCTGTATCTCAGACTTTATCATCGAGTGATATGATGATTAGTGAACATAAATGCTGCTGTTATGCATCTGCTATTTTTAATTTAAAATGAATAATGATCGTTATACAAGTGCAATTCAGGCATTTTAATGGAAATGTGTGGAATTTATGTTCCGTATGACCTAGCGTAATTATCCTCAAGCAATTATTTTAATGGGAAAATTATATGATATAATTATGTTATATTAATGATTAGGCAGTCAACGGCTTAATCACATATTTTTCTGATAGGCATACGTGCAGGTGCACACATGTCGAATGATACATGAATTTAATCGTATTAATTATTACGTAATTCTAATTACACCACATCATCTTAAGACATCTTTATAGGTCGTGCATTTTATTTTGAAATTAGTAACTCATTTCGAGAACTAGACATTCCATGAGGTGAGATTTTATCGCCCTGATGATGGAAGCAACAAAAATCTCTGAACCGGGGCTAAACTTCTACCAGACTACAAGACGCTACAACCCAGAAGACAGCCATCTTCAAATTTTAAAACAAATTACACTAAACAGTGTAGAGATAGTTTAATAGAAAATTATAGATGTGCTGCTGAACGACGTACTCGTGTTGCTACTCTGACAAATGCGAAGTTATTGTTTTCAGCACTTACTGAAAACCCTGTTATCTGCTGTTAGACACCAAATTCATTTAGTGGAAGTGTCATATTCTGTTAAATAGTCTGTTTCGTTGGTTCATCGTCCTTGAAATTTGCTACAATCCATATGTCAAAACAAACTTCATCAATGCTTTGTATTTGTAGCATTGTTGTCAGTCATTGTTGCTGTAAGTGCTTTTTGCTTTGTAATGGAGTAGCGTTGCACTTTGGATTCTTTGGGATACAAACCGAACGTCCACCTAACATAACAGCTAGTAACCATGACGTTTGACTCTTGGAATGCGCTGTTCGCAATTAACTTCTGACGGTGGCGGCTGTGGTTTTAACATATACAAACAAGGCTATGGTGGGGTGTGGGGGAGTCTGGAATCGCCGTGAATATGATTTCACTTTTTGTAAACTTTCAATGCGATTTGCGAAGATAATATTGCAGTAAATTGTGTTACTGGTAGGTCGTACACACTGTTTCAAAATATTGTTTCGGCGAGTTTGGGCTTCAAGAGGGTTGGTGTTGCTCTGATGATTGTTTCTGGTTGTGTTCCAGTGGGCTGCTGCAGTAGCGTGGTGTGGGGGTGGCTGTCGGGATGTAGGCAGTATGCGCAATAGCACCGTGAGTGCCCCAGTGCAATCTTGCAGCTCTTTACATACCCCCTCAAGCAAGAAGTACGCTGCAGTGCAACTACTCACCAAACAGACGCTCTACTTCATCGTCGAGGTAAGTTCATGTTTCCTGGGGTCGGGTGGGGAAGTGGCTAAAGCTACCGAACCGCGAAGCTGACCACTCACCTCCATTTACCCTTCAGTGCCGAGGTTAATAATTTGCAGACCTATACCTCCACTTAATACTTTATACACCAACTCTCGTAAGCTGATTGGCTCACGAAGGCACGTGACGGTAGATGCGCAGAAGCATACAGAGCTCAGCCGCCATTGTTCGTGTCACCTCAGACCTGTCATTTGACTCTGCATAATCAAATAAATTTAAAGTTCTGTTAAATAAACCAGGAATTACCAAGTACAAGTGTAATTTGGTATAATGCACACGGTTACAATTTTTTTCTAATTAGGTTAAAAAAATGTCACGCCAAGGGAGTTCTAACAAAGTGTACCACTCTTGTGCCTGATTCGTTATATGACTTTATGGTTTATTTTATTTTATATTTGTTTATTGCCACATTCATGGTTAATGTGATGATGCAATGCGGAAGTAATTGAAAGTCGTTGAAGAACGCGTGTTAGAAACTATTGGCACATTTCCCACTACCCGCCTTCGCCTGGAATGCCATTCCTTCGCGTTATTGTCCCTGTGTAATGTATTAGACGTACGCATTTTATTAACGATCAGTACTGGTGTAGGATGCTGCCTTAATTATAATGCACCATTAGAAAAAGTTATCTTCAGCAACGAGGAAATTGCTAGTCACGTCTATTCACGGTTGAAATAAGCTCTGTACCGCACTGAATGACATTCCAATTGCAGTCCACCCACACGTGCATCCGTAGTGTTGAAGGAGAGAAAAACGAACAAGTAGTTTTGCTGGCATGTGGACAGAAATTAACATTCCCTTCAAAAAAATTCTTATTTCTCTCTCTTTCTCCGTGAAGGGAAGAATGAATTCATATCTTTCGCTAATTTCTCAGTAGATTATGCAATAGACATCAATTCTTCCGTCGCTATGTGGGGGCTGTGATATATTCTTATTGAAACTAATTGTATGTTTTACACCTGAAATTAAACATATCGGAGTCTAAGTAATAATACTGGATCATGTGTTTAATATTCTGCTTAAAATGTTTCTTTCTATGTTCATGAATCTCAGAATAAGAAAATACGCCAGCAGTTTACTCAAACACGGACTGTACATAGAGACATCGTTAGAAGGACACAGTGTTGTAGGGATACATTTAATCTAATTCTCTTTAACGATGCATTTTTTTTAAATTATAATGTTCGGAATTAATTATTGAAATACCCAATATTTGCATCTTATATAATATCGGAACTGTATTTGGGATAAGTTTGGCAAAACGGAGATACATCGTCTTTATATGCGTGTATCAAGTTTCTTTTGCGACTGTCATATGTAAAGAAAGTGAAATTCAAGTGTGAATTCCTTCCAGTGACTTGCTAATAGGTTGTTAAAATTGCAGTATTCACTGCTGTTTTCATTTTTTTTTTTAGAGTAGGGAAGTGCTGAAAAAAGTATTTGTTATTACGTTTTAAGATTTGAGAAAGTTGTTTCTGGAAAGCTATCTGTCTATACTCTCCTCAAGCATCAGAACAGTTCTTTTGTCCTTTCTCCATTAAGTGTTACACGGACTGGAGATTTTTCGAAAACGTCTCGTTGGTATTAGATTAAATTCCAGATAGATGTGCCTGTCATAGTATTTCAAATATTCCTATGTAGTCCTTCCAGACACTCAAAAACAATCACACGAGTAACCTGTAAGACTTGTTTTATTTACTCGGACATGGGAAAGTTTCTGCAATGTATTTTTGCATCATTTATTTAACTCTGTCTGTTATACGTCGCTTCCTACATTTGAACTCGTAGTCTCTTTGTGCTGTGAGATGGTAACACATAAATCAGCGGTTTTTGATTCAGCATTCTTAGAAGTGAAAGAAATTGAGCGTCTGGTACAGACGTGTGAACAAGCTGTGCAGGAAAGTGCGGACCGAGTCTTTTGGCACAAGTGTATAGTGCTATAGGGTGGTCTTCAAAATATTCACCGACGTTAGAGTGGTTTATAATTGTTTCATTCATTTCTCTTACGAAAAACAGCATATGTCCAATTCCAAATCTGTTTGATTGCACAAATCTATTTGTCTCTGTATTTAGTTAAACACTTTTTAAATCTAATTAACAGTGATTGATAAATTGGCCTGTGCAAACGGGAGAAAAAAAAACTAGCTGCCAAATTGTTTAAACATATATAAACAATTTACGTATATTTAAAAGGCCTATATGCTAATCACATCCACCACAGAGCATTACGGCGGTGCCCGAATCTATAACTTGTGTTGGGCAAGGCCGTGGTCTAGGCAACACGGAGTTTTCCTCCGTGGCATCCCAACAATTACTCCATTCACACACACGCTGGCCTTGTAATCCTGGGGTCTTGGGTTCGATTCCCGGCGGTGCCCGAATTTATAACTTGTGTTGGGCAAGGCCGTGGTCTAGGCAACACGGAGTTTTCCTCCGTGGCATCCCAACAATTACTCCACTCACACTCAGAAGAAGGCAATGGCAAACCACTTCTGGATCATCTGCCAAGAACGTATATGAACAGGTCCCAGACCGAGAAAAGGATGGAAGCATCCTGTTCATATGGACCTGTCGTCAGACAGAACACTAATAATAATAAATAAACTGCATTTTGCTTTTGTAAGATTTTCAAAATGAACAGGCATTAATCATTTGATGTTGTAATGGAGAGTCATTATGTTTTCTTTGATACAGGAACTGAAATTATTGAGATGAGCTTCGGATTTTATAATATCTATTCAAGAATATGCAGTTGCAATTAGTATTCAATAATTTACATCATGGCGATCGCCATCTTCTTAATGCCCCTCTAGAATATCCAGTACAAAGATTTTATTTCTTGTAGATTTCTTTTCTCCCAGTTTGCCATGTATTTATTTTCGCAACTCTATCCTTTATTCTTTAATCCTTTATACATTCTTTATTTTGTTTTGTGTTTCCCTTTTTCACCCTTACATTTTTAATTTTTTGTTATTTCTTTACTTGGCAAATTAGCATTTTAATTTCTCAGTTTGACGCATGTGAAGTAAGCAGCTGAATTCTTCGCCTGGTTCATGACGTGCTCAAGCAGCTCTTGTGTGTGAGTGCGTGCGTGCAAGTAATTTGCCAACCCGCGAAGGTATTTGCAGTTCCACCCGCGCTTTTAACCCATGCGAGAATCTGATGCTTCTGATGATAATGTTGTAGATGCTAGCGATGACCCAAAGAATTTAAGATGACCCTTGATTTTTTTATGTATTGACGTGGGGAAAAACCCCTTGTCTCAATAAATTATATACAAGTTTTGTTACTCCCACGACCGGCATGAAGACTGCAACTGCTAACAGCTTTGTTTAAATTTAAGTTTATTACAACTGCCTCCATGGTTCAGGGTCCTTTTTGGGAAGCTAAAGGATCTTTACGCTGTTCAGGACACCTCACGTCCTCCAGGACTGCTTGTTCGAGACCTCGTTCTTATAACCTGTTTCTTAAGGATTTAGCTTAATATTATCAACTTATCTACGCTTTAGTCTAAGTAAACTCTTCCTTGGTATTTTATGTCTAAATGTCCGTATGCGTTCTTCATGCTCATGCGGGCTTCGTGTCCCGCTCGACTATTCCTCCCAAATTCCATTAGAATTACATACAGTGAGCTTAGCAGCATGGCCCATCATGTAATTTGAATTTTATTGTTAGACTATGAAGTTCAATACCGAAATGAAGACGTGGGAGCAGCTGTCACCTTGACCCTTTATAGCCCGAAACGTTCATTTGAATAATATTTAAAAATTCAGCTTCAAGAAAGAAAGAAAGAAAGAAAGAAAGAAAGAAAGAAAACAAAAACAAAAAAACAACCCGCCTCCATTCCAAAAATCAGTTTGGTTGATGTTCGTTAAGGAAATAATCGTTGTTTATTTTGAGAATCTTGCAAAATTTATAAATACACAGTGGACAATATGCAAAGTTATTGATTGTTACTACAACTTGTAAATTTAGCTGCCACTGGACTCTGCAAGGTTTAACGAGGGTTTCAAATTTCGTAGCGATTATTTATGTATCCCTATACGTATAGTGTGGAATGGTAAGATGATTAAAATAAATTAGTAAGTACGTAGTCTTGGCGTTAAACCATTTATTTGTGCGCAGTAAGAGAACAAACGCAGAATGTGTAATCTGATGAAAGACTCTCGGGTTACAAGCATCGGAGAGCGCGAGGTTTGTAACCCGAGAGTCTCTCATCAACTTCAGTCGCCGCGAAAGCTTCACTTGTTAAATTTTCTATCGAATGTCAAATGCCCATAGTGTTTGCTAAAATGTGAAAGGGATGCTCCATATCTTTGAAAATCATCTCTCGGTGTTAGTTTGACCGTCGCCATTTTGTGCCCTTTACTCTGAACCCTCTGAAGTAGGCGCAGTTCGCAGCATCTGCTGCTGAACAAAGCCCAGAATGAAAGCTCTTAGAGTCGGAGAAACCTATTGATCAAGCATGGCGGGTGCACGTGAGTACATGACGAGATACTCATGGGAACGCATGTCTGCTGCATACCTCGTAGTGCCTTCCTTGTACTTGTGTGAGGTTTCTGAACAAGTGAAAGCTACACGAAGTGGGTTCAGCGTTCCAAATACCACGTTGCGGTAGTTAAGAACTGCCATTTCTGTTAATGTCTTCGTTCTTCGTGTTCTGGGAGCTCCGTTGCACCTGCCTTGACTGTTTGTGCAGAATGCAGTCTTTGTTTGCAGCACAAATATTTTTCGGTTACGTCTAAAACTTCCACATATAAATCTGAGGTCGATCTTTCGGGTTGTAACGCCGTGTGGACTTTTACGTTGATACCAACCTTTCAGGGCTGAAAACGGTGAAATATTTTCCCAAGAAATATTTGTGTCTACCTACATACTCACATGGCATTACGACACAGAAGGCAAACATGATGTCTTCTGCAAAGTACGCGTGACCCTAGTTATAAGC